TAGGTACACTTGAAGCAAATGGTTGTTCATTTACAGGGATAGATGGCACCCTTAAGGTTAAGAGATGATTTACGATTGTAATGAAAAGTAGAAGAGAAAGCAATCTTTACATTCTGGAAGGGAGTACAATGACAACTGCAATTACTACTCCAGTTGATGCAGATGTAGATGATATAGATTTGTGGCATATGGGACTAGGCCAGATGAGTGAGAAAGGCTTGTTAGAACTCCACAAGGTGAAGGTACTAAGTGGAGTAAAGACTTGTAAGCTAAAATTCTGCAAGTATTGTGTGTATGGAAAGCAACATAGAGTGTCTTTCAAAATGGGACAACATACATGCAAAGAAGTCTTGGAGTATATTTACTCTGATGTGTGGGGTCCAGCCCCTGTCCAATCTAAGGGTGGAGCTCATTATTTTGTAACTTTCACTAACGACTACTCCAGGAGGGTTTGGGTGTATTCCTTGAAGCATAAATCAGAGGTATTTGCTAAATTTAAGGAATGGAAGATTGAGGTGGAATTACAAACAGGAAAAATGGTGAAATGCCTAAGGACTAATAATGGGATGGAATACAAGGATGGGGAGTTCCTTAAATTCTATAAAATCCATGGAATTAGAAGGCATTTTTCAACTCCAAAAACACCCCAACAAAATGGAGTGGTGGAGAGAACGAATAGAACATTGACTAAAAGAGCTAGGTGTATGAGGCTGCATGTTGGATTACCTAAGGTATTTTGGGCAGAAGCAATAAATACAACCTACTATCTAGTGAACAAATCCCCAAATTCACCAATTGGATTTTGCACCTCACAAGCAATAAATACATAAAAATAATACAAAATATAAGGTAAAGTGCAAATACCTTCAAAATAATACAAAATACAAGGTTTTACGCTCTACATATTTGCATTTGTACTCCTTCTAAACTGAACCTTAAGGAAAAATAATTATCATGCACACACATTGGTTTTTCTCATATGTCATTTACGGAAGATACGAGGGACTGTTTGGTTTTCGGTTTGAATCAGAATCCGAATCAAAATGTGTTGGAATTGGAATTGGAATGTTATATTTTTATAGTTTGTTTGGTTCATATAGGAATCAAAATGAAAATTGAAATCAATTATAAGGGGATTTCAATTCCATCAACTAAACAATTGGAATCAGAATGACCCATTTTGAATCAAATTCCAGACCACTATTCCCACTAAGCAAAAGGATCTGAATTATTTATGAATGTGGCGCAGGATAAATTTGGTAGCTGTCATGTATGTTTTTTCAACTTTTGCTTGAAAAAAAGGTAGGGAAAGGAAGGGAAAACTAGTATTTTCGAACTGTCATTGACCTGGATGATCGGATTGGAAATCGGTCAAGGTACTGGTTCCATTTTAGTGCTGAACCGTTATCTTATTAATAACTGTTGACCCAGATGGTCTGATTGTTGAACTGTTTGACCCGGGCAACGATTTGTGGTCCAATATGTTTTATTTAAAATTTTCAAAAAAAGAATAAAATAACAAAAAAACAAAGAAAAGCTAGATCAATTTCAGATCTGATATATATATATATATAGAGAGAGAGAGAGAGAGAGATGCTTCGCCATTGCAAGTCACTGTCGCTGTTGCCACTGCAAGTTGCCATCGCCGCTACAGGTCACCCACACCTCTGCTTCCTCCCTCCTCCTCCTCCTCCTCCTCCCCCTCCTCCTTCTCTTTTCCCTTCTTTGAGCCGACAGACCTCACACACCTCCTTTCACTTTCATTCTCATGCATGTTTTTTAAAACCGAACTGGTGAACCGGTCTGGGGTCCGTTACCGGTTCGAACAGTTTGATGGTTTGACCCGAACGATCGGCCCATTCTGACAAAAGAAATTAAAAAAAAATTAAAAATTTGAAAAACGGTCAAAACTGTTCGAACGGTTAAAATGGTTTGAACGGTTAACTGGCTGGGTCAGTGATTTACTGACCAAAATCGACGGTTTTAGGGAAAAAAGCGGTTCTGAGGGAAAATGGAACCGGTGACCGGTTCCCAGTTTTTCCGGTCTGACCGTCTGGTTCGACCCAATTTTAAAATCATGTTCTCATGCCCCTTTCTCATAACATTTATATCCCATCCTACCCTAATAATCCAATCTAAAGGGTAGGATGACATATATAATTGAAACGTTTAGACCACTTTACCCGGACGATTGAACTGCCGACCTCGAAACAGGTGGCCAAAGCGCTTTCGTTTCCAGGTTGATTTTTAAAACCTTGGGAAAAAAGATTCGAGTTGTTCAGCTGCCAATTTATTTTTACCACACTTGGATTTAGCTGGTGGCTTCCCGCTGTTTGTAGAGGGCTATTGAGTTTATTATTCCTGTGCTATGTGATTTCTTGCTTCTTCCTTAGCGGTTTAGTTTGTTGCTTGGTGATGGATTTCCTCTTTGTTTATGTCAATTTGTTTTGACTTTTGTTGTTGATTATAGCATTTTTTATTTGTATGGGGAGAATTCTTTTGAATGAAATTGACATTTTAGGCTTAATAAGTTTACTATGTAAAATATTTATTTTATACATGTGCACACATGTATGTATAGTTAGAGAAATGTATTTTATATAAATATAATTCATATATGTAAGTATGCATTTGTTCGGGTGGACTCGAGTTTGGTTGAATCGGGCTTTAGTCAAATTCATGTTATATATACCAAAGGCTTCGATCTAAGCCCAACCCAAGTTTTTTTTAGCCCAAACCCATTACAACCTATAAACTCGGGGCCAGCCTGGTAAAAACTTGGACTGAATCAAATAGGTGTTGGGTAAGTTTTTTCAAAGATTTTTCTTTCAATTTTGTTTTCTCTAAACAAATACACAACGAGAGATAGCCCATTCCCCTAACCTATAATCTCCCAGCCTAGGTACAAGATGGATTAGATTCTCAAATTTTCACTACAACAAATAAGAGACCTCACCAACCAACCGCTTGACACTTTGCACACCTACTTATACTTCAATTTTGCCTAACAAAGCTCGTGATTAACATGGGGCCATAGTTTATAGTTATAGAGACATGCGACCCATAATTTATAGTTATATAGAGATGAGAATGGCTTGCAAACAACTAACATCTACAAGAGGACAAGTTTCCTAACCAATCAGATAAATTCTAATTATATTAATGCTAAAACAAGAATTTAAACAAAATTATCTTTATTTTGAAGTGATTGCAACCCTCTCGTCCTATATAAAGTGCACGAGGACTCTTGTTTGTTTATAAACAACATTATTCTAATATATACATATATAGAATAGAAAAATCTATGATACAGAAAAAATATGATATGGAAAGAGTTTTAACCATATATATATATATTGATTGTGCTTATGGAATTGGGATCTATTATTCACAGAACACGCCTCACACCGATCTCACAGCCATATCTATTGACAAATGACAACATCTCTAATAAAAATAATTAATACTAACGGAATGTTCCGGTTGTGCAGGCAGGACATGCTGTGGGATTGGCGTGAGGCGCGCTTAGTGGGGAGAAGATCCCGACTCTTGCATTAATTTGCAACAGTTGCTTTTGTCATTTCTGTGCGTGTATTTTAGGCCTAATTAGTTAAATTAGCTGTTAGCTTCTGACTTGGTATGAATGGTTTGACCAACTGGCGTGCTGATTCTCACTTATCTACCTTTTGGTTTATCCGATTGCTTGCGCACGTTGTTTTGGTTGTTTAAAAAAGTAATTTAAAAGTCTCCTTTCGTTGGCATAAAAGTCAATCGTGATTGGCTAATAAAAATGCCATGTAATCCTTTCACATGAATTTTAATTAGTCAAGTCTTCCTTTTCAGTTAAATTATTAATTCATCCAAAGTCATGCAAATTGTTAATTGTAGGTGGTTTTAATAAACAAAGCAAATCTCTCCTTAAGAATCCAAATGAGGTAAAATATAAAAATCTTCCCTGATAAATCTGACAATCATAAAAATCTCCCCTGATGCTTCATTCTAATAAAAACCTCCCTTATAATTTTGAAACAAAACTACAGTTACCCTCCATTTTATCATTGTTGTGATGCGGGTTAGTTTTTTTTAAAATGCCGATTTTACCCTTATGTTTATATGAAAATTTATTAAAATACCCCAAAAGAATTTTTTAGCTTTTAGCTAAAAAGGTTTTTTGGGTCAAATTGAAAAGAGTTATTTTGTAAATTCTTTGGCTATAGTGAACTAGTGAAGTCTAGAAAGGCAAAATTGACATTTTGAATTATGTAGAAAGATGCTCCAAGTCTCTAACATGTAGTAAGGGTAATTTATTAAAGGGCAAAATACAAAAACCTTCTCGGAAGTTTCTAACAATCGTAAAAACCTCTCATCTATTTTTGAAAAATTCAACAAATACCTCTCTTCCGTCAATGACCAAGACAGAAAATGTTAAAGAGATAATCATTTTTTCAAAATACTTATTTTACCTTTTTATGAATTAATGTGCATCTATTTTTACTAAAATAACCGTCTCAACAACTCCATAATCCGCTCAAATACTGTTTCATCTTCTTCCTCACGACGCACAGCGGCAGAATGACAGTGCACTCCCCCTCCAACCTTTCTTCTTTTTTATGATTATCAGAAACTTCAGATGAGGTTTTTATGACTGTCTCCATTATTACAACTATGGTTTTGAAAATCAAACCAGACCGGATGGTCAGACTGTATGGTTGATCCGGGAGTTGGTCATGTATTGAGTCTGGATCCAATTTTGGACCCCAAAACCGTCCAGTCGAGTTTCAGACCAGATGGTTGAATTGTTTAACCCAATTCAAAACTGTTCTATTTCCTGTCTGGTTTTCAAGACTATGACTGAAACAATGACCAAAGGGATGTAGCTAGATGGTTTTTCGTTTTAAAACTGTAGGGGGAGATTTTTATGATTATAGAATCTTCGGGCAAGTTTTTATATTTTACGCTAAAATATAAAAGAGATATATCTCTCCCTCGCATAACGACGCATTAATCATAACTGCTTTTGGTCATCATCTCCGCGCAGAGACAAAGAGAGAATACGGAGAGGAAATGAAACCCATAACAAAGCTTCATCGTTCGTTGGCCTTTGCCTTTGTTTGCAGCTGTATTTTGTCATTCAACCTAGTCGATAAATCCGAAGCCCAAACAGCTGCCAAAGCTACTACGGATCCGATTGAAGGTACCTTTTGCAACTCTCTCTCTCTCTTGATACTTGTCAGTTTGATTTGATCGACGTACGACTGCAACTTTGTTTGTTCGGGTTGTTATTATGAATTTGTGATGATACAAATTCCATTTGTAATTGTTGAGTTAGGTGATTAGTATAGCTGAAACCGTATGTCAGGTGGTTTGCTTACAGTGTTACAGCTGAATTATGAAAGAGATTAATTATCTTTCGAGCTCATATTCATGAAGTTGGACAAGATGTAACCTACTGATTTCACTGTTTGGATAATTACTTGTTTGCGATTAGATCTTTTAACCATTTCTTGGTTGTTCTTTACTTCAATCTTAGATCTGAATCAGTCTATCATTTGTATGCTTTCTTAATTAAAAATTAAAAGGTTTTTCTCTTCCAACATGAGTTCTTTTTCTTGCTGCAAAATAAATCAAAATAATCGGATTTAAAAATAGATTTACTTTTCAAGACAGAAAACATATTTTTCATGTTTACATATTTATTTCAATTTTTGGAATGTTTTTATTGCTTTTAAACATTTTTTTTTTGTATTTGCACTATTCCCAAATGGAGTTGGTTTTAGAGTCCTGTTAGTATGAGAAAATCATATTTTTTCAGGGGACATAAGAAACCTCAACCTCTAACTTCATGGGGCATAATGGGACCCAATATCATAATGGGAAATGCCAATTCACGTAGGATTATGTGATCACATCCTATCCTAGTCACCAATGCCCCACTTGTGTATTGGCATCAATTCTGAATTGGATTTTCTTGTTATAATATGTGACTATTTGATTCTGATGTAATACCATGACTGGATTTTATTGCTTCATATTTGGAGATCACATCAGCTCCTCACTGGGCACACCCCACAGGTGGTCCACATGTACATCTTAGCATGCATTGGGAACATTTCCTGTACTTGTTATTGAGAAATATTCCCAAATCTCAGTACATGGTTGGGATGTGTTGTAGGGAGCTATGGGACCCTGATGTGAACTCTCATATTTGACATTGCATCTATCAGAAACGGGAATTCTGCTTCAATCAGGGCAAAGCCTATTCGAGCAGTCTTTACAACCTTGCATTGAGAATATCTCGTTACTTATATACTTTATTTCATGGGAGATATTCCCAATACAAGATTGCAAAAGATGGTTGGAATGTTGTGAGCACAGACTGACCCTAATTCTCAAAATAATGGGATCCATGTCAGAAAACTCGAAAGAAGGTTTGATATATAAATGTTATATATATATATATATATACACATGGTTCGACCTTGGTTGATTCTTCGCCTTGTAAACCTCTCTATTTTCCAATTTGATGCTCAATCTGCTTCTTGAACATTGATGCCAATACATAGAGAATAGTGTGGTCACAATTCATTCCTATATCATAAAATTCCACATACCAGCATTTTACAGGATGTCTGATACGTGGAAATCTTTTTTCACAAGACAAGTGAGAACTTTATGGAACTCATTATGACCCCATGTCAAAAAGGGGAAACCAAAAATTAAAAAAAAAAATTGAGAATGCATGCCAATACATAAAATTTATGACCACCAAATAAAAAGTTAGGGTTTCTAAAAGTTTTTTGGTCCTTGGTGTCATAATGGGGGAAGCATGCCAATACATAAGAGCAAAATTTGGGTACATTTTCTTATGGGTGGCTCATTTGGTACAGCTGTTGGCTTCTTCCAGTAGAGGTGGTGGGACTATGGATTTATTGGGGTGGGCTACTCCAAATTCTGTATCCATTTAACAAAAAAAAACAAAAAAAGAAAAAACAAAAGACTTTCTATATATGTCTATATAAAAAATTATGGGTTCTAAAAGTTTTTGGTCATTTTCAAAAAGGGGAGGGGGGGGGGNGACTATGCTCCCCATTCTCGATCCTGATCCCTACTGAGGAAAAAACCCAACCTCCACCCCCAATCCCCAAGGGAGGCAGGTTCCCCATTGGGGACCCAAATCCCCGAATTCTTTTCTCTTAAATTGAAAACTTGTTTTGCGAAAAATATATTTACTTAAAGGAAAACTAAAAATCACTAACTTAAATGGGTTTAACATTTAATTAACATCATTAACACCAATATAACATAAAAATTAAAATTGTATAATGGCATTATTATAATTATACAAAATTATTTTCAAAATTTAAAATATAAATAATATTTTAAAATATTTAATATATATAATTGCATTCGGGGTTGGGGCGAGGCGGGGATTTCACTCTCCACTCCCATCCTTGTCCTGATCTGGTATATCAATTGGACCCCATCCTTGTCCCTGCCCCGCTAGAGCAGTCTCCGTCCCCGACCCATTGGGAGGCCAGGTACCCAATAAGGACGGGAAATTGTCATTCTTAATTTTGGCCCGTTTTTGTCTTTCAACCACTGTTTTTTAAATTGGATCGGACCGGACAGTTAAACCGGAAAAACCGAGAATCGGTCAATTAATTGGTTTCATTTTTCTCCAAAATCATTTTTTCCCAAAATCGTTGATTTTGGTCAACAAACTGCTGAACTGGTCGGTTAATTATTCGAATCGTTCGAACAGTTTTGACCGTTTCCCAATTTTTTAATTTTTTATCAGAACGAACCGACCTTTCGAATCAAACGATCAGACCGTTCGATAACCAGACCCCTGACCAGTTCGTTTTTAAAAATCATGCTTTCAACTCCATTTCTTCTGGTCTGGAGTATAAGCCCGAACATAATGCGGGCTAGCCTGGATGCTTGGTCCAGGCCCATACATATATTATCAAGCAGTCTTAAAACGTTGTTACCCATGTAAAAATCCTGACCCGGTCCCAGATCAGCCCTGGCCCAAGATCATTATTAATTGAAAGGCATGTGATTCATTTAATTGGATCTTAATTTAGGATGGATTACATCCGATTTGCATTCCTAGCATTTTATTGGTCCATCTTGTTTGGTTCTATAATGCTCAGGGTGCAAGTCGGGTCGGATTAGGTCAGGTTGACCTTAACCATTGTCCAACTGTGGCTTTGAGCTCCAACCTGTTATTCAACCTGAACTAGTCTATTCTAACCAGGAATGATCATTCTTGGCCAGACTTGGAAACTCAGACTGATCCATAATATATACTTAAATATACCCTATATTTTTTAAATAGACTTCAATATACTCCCAACAACCAGCGGGGTATACCCTTTTAACCTTCAAAAAAAAAAAAAGAAATTTTTATCTTTCATCATTTTTTAAATTTTCAAAGAGAACCAGGGAAATCCATACCCCAACAACCAGTGACTGCCTTCTACATTCCTCCTCTCCTGTTCTTTCTTAACTAGAGAAGTTAACGAGAGATGGTGGCCCAACCCTACCTTTCTCTCATCGCATACTAGGAGACCTAAACTCAACTTTCATGACCATATGCTGATCATATTTTTTTTCTTTGACATTTATTTGTTTAATGATTTTATTGGTTCTTTTAGTATAAAAATGAAAAGAGAAAAAAAAAGAAATGTTTTGAATAAAAGTTGGGTTGAAAAAAATCAACCCTAACCCTAACCCAAAAATCAACTTAACCGGCTTTACCAACCCAACCCGACCTGACATTTTTTTTGAATCCGGTTCTAGCTAACCTGGATGAAGTTGTGGTCCTAGTTTGGGCTGCAAGTCAGGCTGGCTGGGCCAGGTTCAGATTAGTTCAAGTCCAACCCTAAGAATTGAGCCCAAAGCTTGAGACTAGCCAGAACCTGAGGTCAAGTCCAAACTATTCAATCTAGGCCCAACCTGCACTAAAATTTGATACAATAGAGTTGGTTTATTAAAATAAAAATGCATGTATACATGGAAATATATCTATCATACAAATTATATAATCAAGCTGAGCTCGGGTTCAAGCTACCTAAAGACTAAGCCTGAATCCAACCCTAAAAAATTAAAACACCCAAAATTTTTGAACCCAGCTTTGCCGGAGGACCCAAAATTGTGGGTTGGTCCGGTTGGATCAGTCAAGGATCGGGTTGGACCCGCCCAAATTGCACCCTTAGTCCTAACAAAGGTACCAACCTACTAAATCAAAGCCCTTCGATTTGTTGCTATGGCCCCACCTTAACTCATATGAAATGATTTGTTGATGGGACCACATCTAAGGCCATGATTTTCTGTTTTAGCCACGATGTCGTAGCATAAGAACTCCAAACGTGTTTTGCGCATCCACTGGTCACTGCTGTTTAGGCTATATGTCTGCGGTTACGAAAATTGAAAATGAAACTGCGCAAAACTCTTCTGCTGGTTTGTGTAAACATTACAGTACGTTGGCTTAACGAAGTGATGAGGTTGATGGTGGGGTGGTACAGTGGCAGCTTTAAACACCATCTTCCAAAGATGGGGAATCTCATCCCAGGATTCCGACTCCGCTTATCAGTGGAATACGACGGGAGATGTCTGCAGTGGTTCTGCCATCGCAAGCGTCGCAGGTGTCATTGACATTGAGACATTCAACCCAGGGATTATATGCGATTGCAAGTACAACAATCGTTCTACTTGTCATATTACACGCCTGTAAGTGTTCTCTCTCACACCATCCCTTTTATTGTTATGTATGTAGCTACTGGGTTGGGAAAACAGCATGAGAAATCTCACTTATGGTGTTCGTTTTGCCAGCAAAGTAATGGATATGGGGGCGAAAGTTCAAGGGGGAATTCCGGAAGAGCTCCGCAACTTGACTTATCTCGAATATCTGTATGGTTTCTTCTCCCTTCCACAAGTTGTTTTCAATTTTATGTACTTGAATTGAACTGAGCTTTTTAAATATGCTCAAAATACCCTCTTAAACATGGGCCTATATATAATATAGGCTCTGTTAAAATATCTGCACTTCACCTAGGCTAAGGGTGTTTTTGGCTATCATGGTGATCAACATTTTCTTCCTTTATTGTTATTATTGGTGTATACATGGCTTTCCTTTTGAATAAATATCTGCTACGCCCGTTGGCGTAGCTTTGGGCTTTCATGGTTGAGGTTTGGCAAAAAATTGCGATGTGGATTCTGCAGAACAATGCTATACAGTTTTAAATCCACGCATTAAGTGAAGAGTAATTAATATTTTTGCAGGAAGTTGGATAAGAATCACTTGACAGGTCCCCTACCAGCATTTCTTGGCAACTTAACTAAATTGCAAGTATTGTAAGTAAAACTCATTCCTGAAAACTTGTTAGTTACTATTATTCAAGAGTTGATAAACTTGTTATTTACTAGTATTTCTCACCTGAAAGTTTACTCTTATTAATTTTTTAAGCATACAATGGAAAATATCAAAATTTAATCCAAACTGGAACTATGAGAGATGTTGATGCACCGCAATCATGTTTGGTAAAGAATTTTTTGAATACTGCACGTAAGTGGTAAGAATTTGGGAGCATCCCATGTTGAGACATGTGACTGAATTGAATACTTTCTCTGAGAAAATGAAATGAAAATGTAAAAAATGACCATCATATATATTTTTAGGGTAGACATTAAGATTAAGGTTACAAGTGCAGAATCAAGATATCCATAAGACTACACTAATACATACATATATTTTGACTACAAAATGTGTCACATATACTTAAATAAAAATAAAAAAGCAAATAAATTATTAACCACAGGATGAATAGAAAAAATGCAATAAGTTTGATTTGATTCAAACTTTAGACATATGGTTTTGGGCTGAGCACAGAGCTGATTTTTGATAGCCTTGGATTGAGGTAATCTCAAATTGGCTTGAGTTTGCAGCCCCAAAAGTTGTTCACTATTTATACACCATCTAATTCTCCACAAAATAATTTATAGATACAATATCTTTTTCTAGTAATAAATTGAGTTACACACAACAGGGGGTAGCCCTCCCTAATCATAAAGCCCTCAAGTAAATGATAAAAAGTGGGATTTGATTCCAACTTCCAAGTTTCTGCTACAACCATCTAGATACCTTACAAGTAAGCTAGCCAACATTTTACTTAGAAATACAATTTGAATTGATCTAGGAATAATATTATATTAGACATTCCCAGACCTGAAATATTTACATCATATGGTAAGAATAACATTGCATTTTCTTGCCAAGTGCTACATTCTACTTTAATTTCACTTTGCTTCAAAAAGTAGTACAGGAAATTTTATAGTTCTCAAAGACGATGTTTAAAGAGCAGAATTGTTTTATTTGGCAAAAGGTCTTCAAACAGTTGATGATCATAGAATGACTGAGAGCCTCTAGTTCATGATCATTTCTTGGAGATGATTGGTTACATTTATGAACTGAAGTTTCAAGGACTGGTTTAGATTTAACATTAAGATCAAGCAATATTCACATCTTTTCTTCCTTTCTGTAATTAGTTTATATTGAATAAAAATATGAACAAGATAAATATCACCTTTCCTGCTCTCTGTAATATATTACACAGCAAAGGAATTAATAAAGAAGGAAAAACTTGTTACTTTACTTATGGAAGTAGGTTGTTCTAAGTCCAATAGAAAATGGAAGAGAAATCTTGAGAAGAAGGCCCTGAAGAAACATGGTCAGATATTGGAAGAACTGTCCACACCTAGAATTGATCAAGAAGAACATGCTTTCTGAAGATATGTTCTAAGCTCAGATCATTGATACAAATGTGTTGCTCACTTTTGTTTCTACCTAATGTATTGACTTAGAAGCATCTTCTCATATGTGTAGCACTTTGTAAAGGTTTGAAGAAAGTGGAAGGCTTATTGAGGATAATTAAGATGGTAATCTACCTGGGGACTTCTATAACAGTTGAGGCTACTTCCGTAAGAACAATAGAATTAGTATTAAGGAAAATATTTGATGTTTAAAAGATTGTTTTTTATACCTTAAATAAGAAATTCGATTTCTGTTTCTAAATTGTGGGGTGATGGTCATTCTTGTTTCTAGTAATAAGATTACTACAAAATTGAATAAATAAATTCATTATTTCAAGAAACATGGAGAATGGTTCCTATGTCTTGTATCCTTCTTTAGAAGTAAGTGAAAAAGTTTCACCTAATAGCTTTCTTAAGAGAATTTATGATACCATTAATCCACTTACCTATAGAATTTTAGACTTGGTTACATTAATGTTATTTTATTCACAAGACTAGTAAAAGATAGTCCCTTAGATTCTCTAATAGTATATTCCTACTTTAAACATTGTTTACTTTTTTTTTTTGGTAGAAAAACATTGTTTACAAGGTAAGATGATAAAAAGACCATTTCTAGGAAAATCCCTAATAAGCATAAGTGTGTTAGACTTTGACATATATTGATGTATGTGGCCCTTGAATATTAGGGCAAGAGGTGGATATGTTTACTTTGTTGTTTTTACCAATGACTTTTTATGGTTTGGGTATGCTAATATCACAAACAAATTAGGATCCTTTCAATGGTGTGGTAGAAAGAAGAAAAAGAACCTCATTAGATATGATCCAATCCTTTCTAAGCCACCAGTCTCTTAGAATTCCCTTAACTTTCTAGGGATATGCATTAAAGACTGCAATTATTTGTTAAATAAAGTTCCAACCAATTTAATTCTAAAAACTCCTTATGAGCTATGGACTAGTAAAAAAGACACTTCAAAGTATGAGGTTGCTATTGATGTTTCTTGTTCTTTTAGCTCCTAGCCAGGCTAGAGTCCTTAGAAGGAAGGACACCTTTATCAAGGAGGGAAGTTCATTCCCACTTTTATTCTAAAGTTTTTTCCACAACTGTTATAGGATTATAGGTATAGTTACTCATCATTCTGAGTTTCAGAATGTTGACATTCCCATGGCCATGTGGAATGCCCCATTTAGAGCTAAGTATAGGGAAGTTAGGTGAATTAAAATGGAGGTTTTAATAAAAATTAGACATATAAGGTAGTGGACTTACCTAATTGTTATGAATTAGTGGGTTTGGATTTTCATAATAAAGTATAGAACTGATAGGTCTATTGAGAGATACAAGAAAACACTGGTTGCTAAAAGGTAATACACAGACCTATTGAGTTGACTATTTGGTGACCTTTGCACCGGTAACCAAAATGAACTCATTGAGAGTGCTCCTAACTCTAACAGCATAATATTCTTAGCCACTTCATCAACTAAATATGAAAAATGCATTTTTAAATGGAGATTTACTCAATTTATTTATGCGTATTTGAGGCATAGTATGCTTTTGGCAAGAGAGGAAATTTCTATAGTACAACATATATTGTTTAGTAACATGTTTAATTTCTTTGATTGACACAATTTGGTTAAGGGCTGCTATTGATGCAATTGCCTAAAACATGATCTGTGAGTTCATAAGTTTGGTTAAGGGGGTTGTGATATATGCAGCATAATATATATATATATATATATATATATATATATATAGGTTCCTAAATGTTTCAATATACTTGGTTGTTCCTAATAATAAGGAATGTGTAAAATTTTGATTGTGTATTCATTATCACTTTACAAGAGAAATCTTGATTGTATATATGTACGTGGTGCCGTGTAACAGTGTTCCTCAATGATAGGAACTGATGACTATAGTTACAACAGAATTGACAAAAGTAAAATAGATTCAAACATGGTCATGTGTATAATCAACTCTAATACTCCCTCTTAAGTTGGGGATTAGATGCTATGAATCAATTTGCATATCAAATTTTGAAATATATTTTTCCCTCAAAGACTTTAAAACATTTTCTATTCAAAAGATAAGTAGAAATGGATGTTGGTTTGATGAGACCTGATTGAATCTTTTTTTTTGAACAATAAATAAATTCAGATTTCATTAAAACAGAAAAAACAAATTACAAAGGAGGAGAGGTAAAAACTCTTAACTCTCACCGAATATTAAAAGCATAGTTACAATTGAGTCCAAAACAATTGATTTCTTCCCAACCCTTGTTTTACCAAAGCACCAGCAGAACTATTAGCTGTTCTTTTAACCCAACTAACTCTCACATCCATATATTGTATCAGCCATTTAAATTTCTTCTGTTCATTGCTGTAATTCTATAGTCTTGCTTCTTCCTTTTGCAACCAGTCCACCACCAGCTTTGAATCTCCTTATAAAATCAATTTACTGATGTTCATATCCTTTGATCTTTGCACTCTTTGCATATGAACACTCCTATGTCAAGCTTCCTTGCTTGAGGAACACTTGTCCTCGAGTCTTAGTAGATCCCTAAGAATGACTTATGATTATGCTTCCATTGTGTTGCTTTGTTAATGACTTCTTGATAGGTAATTGGTGGTGTAAACCTCCAATACCAAGAAAAATTCCTTCACTAAATCTCTCAACCTTTGAAGTTTACTTCATGTTCCTTAGAGAGGCCAGTTCTTCCTTAGATCAAATTGGTGTAAATAAGGATCTTTGCAACTTTGTAAGTCAAATTCTCCAATATAACAAGTGTGGTCTCCATGATTTTCAAGTTCATCAAGGATGTCAAAAGCTTCCTTTTGGTTCCCATTCGATATCTTCTTCCTCAAGAATGGGTTTTAACATAGGTGGGGTGTCACTTTTTTGTTCATTCTCTTTCACCATTGTAAGAGCATAAGCTTCCTTAGTGCCTTCTAACATCTCGTCATATTTAGAGAATAAGTTGCTTCTCTCCACTTTAGAAGGCGTGGGAATACTCTGTAATTTGGAAAGGCTTAATATAACCTTTGAAAAAGGAGTAAGTATTTTTGAACCCATCATAAACAACTCTTCTATCACATTGCCATGGATGACTAAGAAGAAAATGACAAGCCTCCATATAAACATCATCACACATCACATCATCTTTGTACTTCTTACAAATGGAAAACTGAATCAAGTATTGTTTATCAACTCTTACCTCATTTCCTTTGTAAAGCCATGAGAGCTTGTAAGGGTGAGAATGCCTCTTTATCTTCAGGTTCAATTTCTTTATCATAGATGTAACTACCACATTTGTACAGCTTCCTCCATCAACAATGATGTCAGACACCTGCCATGAGAAGTGCAACATGTATGGAAGATGTCTTTTCAGAGCCAAGCTTCTTCTTCCACATGGATTTCATTAAAGTTGTGACAAATAATGAGAAACTATCCTTGATCAGCATAAATCAGTTCTTCTTCTAATTGCTCCTTAGAATATTGTGAATCTTCCTTTGGCCTCTTCTTCAACAAGAGAAACCATCTTCTGATTGGGGCAATCGGATGCAATGTGACCAGAACCTTGGCACTTGAAACATCCAATCTGTTTGACATTGGAAGAGTGTGGTTGTCCAGAACTAGCCGCACTATCTTTCTTAAAAGTTAATTTTGAAGTGGTGGTCTCAAGGCTGTAGTATACTTAGAATCAGAGATGTTGCCTTGCTTTGAACCATTAACATGGTCAAGAAATCAATAACTTCTCCCATATGCCTCTTTAAATTATTGCTTACCTTCATTGTGTTGAGAAATATATTGTATTTGGTTGTATTTGGGTTTTCTTTCAGGGAGAATGTTGGAGTTTATAAGGGTATATTTGTAATATTGATATTTTTTGGGGACTTATATGTATTTATGGAAGAAAGAGGGGCCTGTGTGTAATTCTAATATAATTTGGCCTCTTGCTTATTTAATCCATTGCTTGTTTGGGATTAGGGTTGAGTGAGTGGGGTCATTTGTTGTGAGTGTATAGAGAGGTCAGTCTTGTATTTCTTCTTCTCATAGTGGATGTTTTCTCTCTCTCCTTTGGATGTAGGCTACTGAGCTGAACCATGTTAAATCTTTGTGCTCTCTCTTTCTTCTTTCTTCTTTTTTTTTTCTATTTTCTACTTGGTTTACTATTCTCTTTCCCGCTGTTTGACATGGTATCAGAGCAGGTCACGACCTGATTTGTTTTCCTTGTGAACTGCATATTGGTGTGAACACTCTGCTACCCATCAACCTTGCCTTCTATCTACCAGCACTGCATCATGTAGGGACCACTTTGCAAAGAAAAGGTTACAAACCTTTAATAGTAGTAACCGATTAAGGAGGTTAAAGGTTTGTAGGGGGCTTTAGTGTTAAATCAGTAAATAGTTTTAATAAGTTTGGGGCTTCAAACGCTAAAACTGATGCGACTTGGTCTTGAAGGGGAGAGAAAGGGGTGATCATTTCAGCCCAGCCCGACTTGGAAATTCCAGGCTTGGGCCCGGGCCCATATCAGGCCCGCAAATTTTAGGGCCTTACTTGGGCTTAATACTTCAAGCCCAGCCCACATATATTCAAACTTACACATTTTGTGTGTAATGTATACATGTTATTTTACATTATATTATATATTTTATACATAAATATTATAACATGACATGTATAATTTATATTATATGTAATACTTTATATTATATAATGTATAAAATAAGTTTATATGCATGTTATGTCATTTAATATATAGATATATAATATTTTATATTATATAATGTATAAAATAAGTTTATATGCATGTTATGTCATTTAATATATAGATATGTAATGCTTTATATATGAGTGACATTGGCCTGGAATCAGGCCCGGCCCGACCCGGGCCTGTATTGACCTGGACTAGGGATTATGTTTCAGGCCCGGAACCCCAGGCTGGGCCGGGCCCGGGCCTAAGCTATAGCCCTTATCATAAGTACAAAGCCCGGCCCGGCCCATGATCACCCCTAAGAGAGGGAATTGGATTTGATGACTTCTAGTTATGAAATCATAGAGAAAAGGAAGGATGTGTCGAAGGCCTTGGAAGTTTCTGATGGTATTGGTGTCTTCTGTTGGTATGAAATTTGTAAGTTGGTGGCTGGGACAGGTGGGCACACTGGAGATAGAAATGGTGTGATTGGATTAGAGTCTTGTCCTCTATAATCAAATGATCTAAGCTTAGTGCCCAGCTCGGTTTCTATCCAAGAAGCGGTGGTTCAAGAGAGAGAGGCTGTTGTAGAAGGTTTGTTGTTTGTTAACTGGTTGCTCTGGGGGGTGGAAGTGGGGATGGAGGCGGTTGTAGGAGGTGGGGGGGTACTATGGGGGACAATATGGAGAGGGATGCTGTAGAAGTGTTGGTGATGTAGAGCTGGTAGTTAATGATTGTGGTCAAAAGAATGGATGTGATGGTGTGGAGAAGGACAAGGCTCTTCTTCAAAGGAGTTGCAAAGATCATTTGGTAGAAGTGGTAGTTGGAAATATTGGAGTTGATCTGTGTAGGAGGAAGGTGTCTAATAAGATAAATTTTGGTGAAACTTCAATCCTAAGACAGCTTTGAAGAAACCCAGAGGTCAAGTAAATCCCACATTGTGCATGTTATCATGGTTTTCTCGTGGTTAAAAGAGGGGCTTGTTGGGGCAGGTCCTAGCAAAAGTATAAAAAAATTATTCAAGAGAAATGTGGTGAAATTTAGAGCCATGAACCAAAAGGTCCTTGCTTGTGAAAATCTACATTGCCAAGATGTTAATGCAGTGCATCTTTCTGAAGGGGAATTGGAGGGGAAAGGAGCTCTATAGGAAAGGAGGGTGGTAATGAAGGTTTGGGCAAAGTTGACAAGATGCTCTCCGAGGTGTAGGAAGTGAAGCAAGAAAATTTGGATCTAAAGAAAATTGTATAAGAATGTAGAGGTTTGGAAGTCTTTGGGGTCTGTTTTTCTTGGGAAAAGAGGTGTTCTCCAGAAGAGCTTTTGAGGAATTTGAGAAAAGAAAAAGGAAGAGTCTTAAGAAAACCACTTCAGGGGAAAGGGGAGAGGTGTGGGTCAAGGAAGAAGGGCAGGAAGATGACTTCAATGGGGAGGACTAATCTCAGTCTTTAAGAGGAGTTTGTGGAGATCGGCATCAGTGGTTTTAAATAGGGGAGCCTCTTTTTCCTGTTAGATCATTAGTGGGGGAGCAATTGGGAGGTGTTTGAATTTCAAGTAGTGTTGTTGATATTTTTGCTTTGTCCTTTTGAGTAGTCATTAGTTTGAGTTGTTGACATTACCTTAACATCATAGGAGTGATAAAAGTGATAAAAGCAAAAGAAAAAGAGAAGAAAGATGATAAAGAACTGTGGAAAAGTAGATGGAGAGAAGAGAAGAAGAAAGAGGGAGAGCAACCAAGGAG